CCCTTCTAAAAGTGATTTAAATTTGAGGAGATAGCGGCCTTACAGTGTCCAAAGCTCACTATGCTCCACTTCAAACAAATGAGAATAAAGCTCAATTTATTAACGTAATGAATGTACTAAATAGAAATATAATGCAAGGTCGATGTAACAAAGTTCAAAGTCCTGACTGCAGTTGCAAGCTGAGTCGAAAATTATGAAAAGAAAATAACAAATTCAGCCACAGTCGTTTAGAACCAATCGCACACATCTTCATAATCGATTTTCTCATCTAAAATTAACACAGATTCTGAAATTGTTAATGGTGACGAAAGGAGCGGCCTTCTTAAACAAATGAATAATCCTACTTGTACATCATTGTGTACATAATGCAATATAGATTAAAGACATGGAAGATATCTGTATACCATTATATGCACAATGATGTACAAATAGCATTACTCAATAAATACAATGAGCGAACATAAGATATTGAAATTTCACATTTCAACATAAACATATCGATCACTTCAAATACATTTTCAACAAGTTCGACAATCTTCTCAAGAGTTACAGCTCCCTAGCCAATTTCCAGTCTGTTTGAGGGAACTCGATTGAGCATTGCAATAACCACAATCAGCGAAGTTCATCAACCACCTTCTGGGCCAAACACTTTAGTAATCTGAGCGTCGGGCATAAAAAATTTATGAAGCTCAACCCATTAAATTTTTTGAGTTTAATACATTGTTGGTCACTGAAGTTTTAGCAAAATTACAAGTTAGTCACTGAACTTCAAGTTTTTTCAAGTTAAACACTGAATTCAATTTGTTTCAATATGACTGAGAATAATGCTCCGTGACAATCTAGTTATTTACCAACTAGACTGCCACAACATTTTTCCCATCAGTCAAACTAGGAAAAATGAAAGAATCATCAAATTGTAACAAATATTTAAGCTCGCTTACTAATTGTAGGTGGTAACCAGAAATTTTGCCATAACTCCAGTGACGATGGGTGGTGTTAACCCACTTTTTCCAAAGCACCGTGTGATAAATAAACACTGATAAAAAAATGAAGAGCGGACACCATTTAGAGGCTAGGTTTATGATGATAGCAACCAAGAATACTGCAGTGCACTTAACTGCAGAGATAAAGAACTGCATTCACAAAAAATTGAGTTCATATTGCACAAAATGCTGAAGAACAATCAGAGGGACCAAGTAGAACGGAACATCAGGGCTGGAAATTGGGAAGCCCCATCCATTACATACAAAAGAGCAGGCTCGAAGTTAAATCTCTTGCCAAGTTTTACTTTCAAAAATGTTTCAACCTGAAAATGTTCCCAATCTTTTGGGCCTCGGACCAAACCTCCCAATGACAGACCCCATCCGAGCTCATCTTCAGAGGTATCAGACATTGTGACAGCCCATTGTAGATATCTGGGATTCGAGTTTTTCATCTCAACCCAACCCCCGATTCGTGTATTATCATCAAGCTCTGTTTCAAGCATCAGAGCAATAAATCCATCCGATGCGCGTCCTTTCCTAGTTGTCGAGCTGTCTTCCTCCACAGATGTCTCCGAAGATATACTTTGTTTGAATAGGCTAACAGGGATAGCCAATGCTCCAAGATTGACCCTTCGGTTTAACAACCTAGAATCTTTGCACAAACCCAAAAGAGAGAGCTTTGTACTAGTAGAAAGTTGGTAGACGACTTGCCCAAAAGTGCTCAAGGAATGTGTAAATCTCGCAGAGTTTTGATGCACTCCAAGGCCAGAAAGAAACTGACCCAATGAAGCAACAACATTTGATTTGCGCGCCATTATGCCAATGGCACTGCCATTATGCTGATTTAGAAGTGGAGGTCCAAATGCAGAATAGTCGGTAAGGGCCCTATCCTGAAAAAAAGGAAAGCCATACTTTAGTAGATCTCTGAGCCATTTTTATGGTGCTTTTATCTCCATGTTTTCGCAGTACTAGAGCTAGAGTAATTGAGTACTCTTACGCATACTTTAACACATACAAATGCATTCACGATGCTAAAGTATTAAAGAAAGTCAGTCATGTGACAAGTGTTACGAGATAAACTTCACCTCATGAGAACTTGTAGCAACTCCCACATCTCTGCATCGGGCGCCCACTGGAATTGCAACTGCAGAGCACCAGTCGCTAATATTCGCAGCATAAAGAATTTTTGAAAGGGAAAGAGGACCTCCAAAAGTACCACCTAGCTCCTTTTCACTGGCGACAAACTCTGCAACAAACGTGTCTTTCTCCCGAATAGTGGTTTCAAATGTGAATCTTGATTGAATACCTGTCCTGATACCAGACCTCTCAATTGCTTCAATTTTCTGCTCGTCAACACTGTCCATCATCAACAATGCCGCTAACACATCCACCTCTCCCCTTACATGAGTGCTAGCTTCTTGGAACGGACTTCCCTTTGCAGATTTATAGAAGGTCAGCATTCGCTCCACCTTGTCTTGTCTGTCTCTGAGTTTCATGATATCAGAAAAAGCTTCGCGCTGCAACCGCTTCAAAATCTCAATCTGAAAATCATATCATTGGAACAGTTGTAAAGCTCCATCATACAGCTTGTTGCTACCTAGGGAATCAGCAAAATTGTCAAATACTAAAGAATGTCGAGGAATTAAAAGTATGATCAAATTATAGTCTCAAATCTGTTACAATAGCGTGTCTTGATTTGACTTCAGAAGCAACAACTTGAATGTTTCTTGAGGTAAAACGCTACTCAATGTGGTGCTAAGGCGCTAATTAATTCAGAAATGGGGACAAAACATAGGACTCCAACATTCCATTAATCATCAAGACAATGCCATCAAATCTCACTGACACACTAAGGAGAAGGCATAGCTTTTCAGCTTAAAGAAGTACAGCCAGTAATTATCAAAATTTAGATAAAAACAACCAAAAAATCGCTAAAATTGGCCCAAAAAAAAGGGAATATCTTTGGATAATTTGTTCCAGTTCCATCAGTGTACAAAAATTCCAGCAGACTTCATTTTTCCAACTATTATTCTGAGTCTCTGCCATCAACCCATCAGTAAGGTTCCAACTTTTATTAATATCCGGAATTCGTGTGCCAATCATTATTAATACTGCTAATAGTTTACCAAAATGTCAATATTGATAGTAGAAGCAAATAATCGATTATTAACCGCCTAAAAAAGCCTCTTGCAGTATAAATGCAAAATCACTTACATTGGAAGCATAACCTAATTCGTTTCCAAAATAAAATGAACAGTAATTGGATGAAAATTCAATTCTCTATCCATTCAGTGAGTACATATAATTTATAATAAACTATTTAGTTATCGAGCGTAAATCAAAAAAACAACAATGATATTTTCGTTTATATATCAAAATGTGGAAGATTTACCGGATTCCGGCGATTGGAATTACTGCGACGCTGAAGGAGGCTGCAAGCGAATTCCTGAGTGGATTGAGCAAACCCCTTGATTTTATCCACCACCGAAGCTACTGGCTCCATTTTCAAACTTCAAATCCTCGCCAAATATTTTGCACTACTATGCAGACACTATTTGGTTATTGTTTGAGGGGACAAGAAACAGAATTGATAAGAATTAGGGTTAAAATTTCGTAGCTTTGACAGTAATTTGTGTTATCCAAGGCGACGTTATACAATACATTAGATATAATTAAGGCTGGGAACATAATGTTACAACATACTCAATTTTGTTTATTATGTTACGAAATATCTATTTGAACATAATGTTATTTTCATAATTGTGTTCACCCTTTTCACGAGGATATTCATTTTGAATAAATTATATTTTATTGAAAGTGGGTCTTTCTGGTGGACATCGTTATTGACACTCTGATATACATGTGGTATCACCTCTATGTTATTTATTGTCTTAAAATTAATAAATTTCACTTTTTCAAAAAGTAAAAATCTTTAACTTCTTTTTCTAAACGTCACTTTCACAATAAGTCACTTTTAAGCACGGATAAATGAGATATTGCTTGAATTCATAGTAAAAATATCGTAAAATTACATGTTCACCTATTTTTAAGTTAACTTGGTGTTCGTATGCCTTGCTCAAACTGATCATTGAGTAAATTTTCATTCAAGTGTCCGAGAATTCTCATATTAGGATCGAGGCATAATTCGGCGGTGTTAACTTGTAGATAACTAGCACATTAGGAACATTTTGATTTAATATATTTTCATAATTTTATTTTTGTGATTTTTCTTCACAACTAACTATTTCCTTTTCCCTATTTGGGAAGAACATAAGACAGTGGATGGATTAAAAAAAGATGCAGATTTGTATCTCTTTAATAGGGATCAAATAATAAAATTGTTTATAAATAAAAATTCAACTCTTTAAAATATTTTCTTTCAATTGTTTCTCGGAGTTCTTCTAAATCCAGTCTTCTCTCATTTTATCACTATTACAACATTACCTTTCAATTTTAAGGATTGTTGGTCTTTAAGATTTTTGTCTACCTAATTTTGAAAATTCAAGATATTGTTGAAGAATTTATTGTGGTGATATTTTTAGCATAAACAAAGAAGGAAAAGTAAATCATTAGTCCTAATGGTACAAGGAAAGTTGGATACAAAATTCAAAGGTTGACTTACCTGAATTGAACAACCTAAAAAAGGAATAGATTAAGGACCAAGTTAATGTAAAAGTGATAAGTAGAGGACCAGTGGATCAATTTTTCCTAAAAACTTTGGCACCTTCAGCTTCCGGAAAAAAGAGATATGTTTAGAAACCAGTTAATTATATAAATGGTCACTGAACTTTGTCATATGTTACTACTTAGTCATTGAACTTAAAAATGTAACTTAATGGTAACTGAACTTCACCAAGTGTTACTATTTCATAACCGAACTTTAAAATGTATCTCAATGGTCATCGAACTTTGCACCATGTTACCCATCTGCACTCAAATGGAAAAATTCGTTAAGTCCAACAAACGGTGTCAACTTGAGTGATAGATGGGTAACACAGTGCAAAGTTCGGTGGCCATTGAGATACATTTTAAAGTTCGATTATGAAATAGTAACACTTGGCGAAGTTCAGTGACCATTGAGTTATGTTTTTAAGTTTAGTGACTAAATAGTAACATAGGGCAAAGTTCAGTGACCATTAAAATATGTTTTTAAATTGAATTATTAAGCCCTTGTTTGAATCTCATTCTTTCCACAAAAATAAAAAATAAAAATAAAAAAATAAACAGTGATTTGACATTATTCAACCACACATTCTTTAATAAAAAAATATTACATGCAAATCCAAAATTTTTCTTTAACTACACATTTTCCATCAATATACTATTCAAAAATTCCTTTTATCCCTCAAAATGGGAATCAAACAAGGGCTAAACTTTTCAAAATGACATCTATGAAAGAAAAAATCAAAGAAAATGAAAGGAAAAAAGAGAAAACAGAAAATCAAAGACCTATAAATTAAATAAAAATAAATTTGTTGCTAATATTCATCCATCACGATGAAAATGTACGTTTGATTTTTAGATCAACTAGCATCAGTTCACCGTATCTCAAACTCCACATAAATAGATTGAAAGAGAAATAGTTTGAACAATAAAAAAAATTGAGAAAGAAAAATTAAATAGAAGTATAAAAATGTTTGAATAGTGTCAATATAACTTATTTCGATTTGATTTTTCAACTATGTTACTATTTAATTACTGAACTTAAAAATGTATCTCAATGGTTACTGAATTCCATCAAATGTTACTATTTCATAATCGAACTTTAAAATGTATTTCAATGGTCACCGAATTTTGCACCGTGTCACCCATCCATCATTCAAGTTGACCTCATTTGTTGGACTTAACGAATTTTTCCATTTGAGTAACGAATGAGTAACACGGTGCAAAGTTCAGTGACCATTGAGATACATTTTAAAGTTCAATTATAAATTAGTAAAACTTGATGAAGTTCAATGACCATTGACTTACGTTTTTAAGTTCAGTGACTAAATAGTAACACAGGACAAAGTTCAATGACCATTCATATAATTAACCCGTTTAAAAACCTTTTCTATACGACTTACTTAGCCCTTGTTTGAGCCCTTTTTTTTCTTTTTATAAAAATACATTTTTGAATAATGAATTGATGAAAAATGTGCGATTAAAAAATAAAGAAAATTTTTGAATTTGCATGTAATATTATTGTTTTGAAGAATGTACACACTTTAAAAATATGCTTTTTCAAAAGAACGAGGATCAAACAGAGGCTTAGCTCATATTTAGTTCAACTAAAAAAAATTAATTAATCAAAAATTAATTTTAATCAGAACTCAAAACTTTTTAATCACACATTCCATCAACTTTCCTCAAAATGTACTAAAAATATGACTTTCATCTAAATCAAACAAGGACCTAGTTGCTTGGGCATTAACCTCTCAACTTATTGCGGGAATTAACTCAACGCTACTATCTTAACGGCATGCAGAAAAATACGTATTATTCCATAAATAAATATCACGCGGATCTAAAAATAAATAACTCAATCATGTATACATTTGGGTGCTCGTCGAGAATATTATCCAAATTCAAATGCAAAAGCAAAGTAGAAAAAAATTGCACATCCCCGCGGACCTGTTCTAAGGTTTGCTTATCCAAATTCAAATGCAAGTACAAAGAACAATGTCACGTATGAAAAGACAATGTTTTGCCTCCCAATTACCTGAAAAGAGAAGTGTAAGTTCTCTCTATGAAGGCAGTCCAACTAGAAAACCTCTATATGGGCAAGAAAATTTTCAGAGTAGGTCCTAATTAGATACATATATTGCAACTGGAAGAAATTGTTAAACTAGGCCTGGATTCTGGAAGAGGCTCCCACAGCACTTTCCATTCGTGTATACCAATCACCAATGCGTGTATGTTCAACCATATCTCGACCCGACTTAAGGTAACGAATGGGTCTCAAAACACCGAAGACAGCAAGATCAGCTAAATTAGGCTTCGCACCACCTGTTGAAATGACGATGAAATAGAGAGATAAATGGTGATGCTACTCAAGTTGATCATCTCTGTTAGCTTAGTAAACATACTGCAAAAAGAGGAATTGAACAAACCTAGAAAATCTTGGCCCTTAAGCGCATCGACCCATGTTTCTGCAGCTTCATATAGAGCTGCACGCTCGTCCGTAATATTATATTTTTTCTTCAATTTCTTAGATACAAAATACATCGCCACAGCTCCAGCATACTTGGCTGTTAATCTCTCAGTGAAGCTGAAATTCCCTGCAATAGTAAAAAATTACAACACTTTATTATGATAGGGGGGCGGTAAAGTTTGCGGAAGCTCTACAAGTTCACAGTTATTCTAGCAAGCATCCAAACTAAGCCTTAGCATTCATTGATGGTAGTAATTTGAAGCAATCCGCCTTATGACAGATTGGCTTAATTATGTGTTAATTACTTATTGTGATCTAATTACATTTAATTTGCTTGATCACCAATTGCTTGATTTAAGGACAATATTGAGATTGAGATGAGAATCACCCGATCAACCCCCAACATGAAAATATAACTAGTTACTAAAGTACTAAATGAAAATTACAAAAAATGTACTGCTCATAGAGAAAATAGTCCATACTAAAGGGGAAACGATTGAAACAACAAAAAGCACTAACGGTTCCAGTGAAGTACACTCTCTCTGCTCTTTCACTTACATTGTTCTATAAATGCATAAATTTTACTGCAGCTACCAGAAAAAAATAATTAGCCGACTTCGCTTTGGGGTTTAATATTTTATAGCCAAAAAAAATCCCT